ACCCCGCTGTAACCTCGCTTCAAAATCGATAGTTTTGAAATCAGAAAATTGGAGAGTACTGCTGAGAACGTGACGAATATTTTCATATGCTCAGTGACCCATTGTTCAGTGGCCGAATTTTTCAAAAACTTGGTTTTCTAGGCCACCAGATTCAAATCGCAGTAACTCAGCTTAACGTTTATATTTTTCAGGTATTCAAGTTGTATTCAGTTGGCCAGAACATGTCACACATTTTGAAGTTAAACATAGTCTAGAATTTTAAAAAATTGGTTTTTCTAGGCTACCTTAGCATCATTTTCTTGGTGACCTAGGAATCCAAATTCTGGAAAAACTCGGCCATTGACAATTTTAAAATATGTGTTTCAATTTTCGACGTTCAATGCAATTTTGAGAATTCAAAAACTTCAATTTTGAAGCGAGATACAGCGTTTTGTAGTCCATGGCCTAGAAATTTCAAAAAACTAGGCCATGGGTTACAAATCGCTGTAACTCGCTTCAAAATCGGTATTTTTGAAATCTGAAAATTTTAGAGTACTGCTGAAAACGTGACGCATATTTCCATATGCTCAGTAACTTATTATTCAGTGGCCGAGTTTTTCAAAAACTTGGTTTTCTAGGCCACCATATTCAAATCGCTGTAACTCTGCTCAAAGTTGGAATTTTTAAGATATTCAAAGTATGTTCAGTTTGCCAGAACATTTTACACGTTTTAAAATGATACACAGCCTTGCTTTTAGTTTTCTAGGCCACCACTTTCAAATCGCTGTAACTCGGCTTAAAATTGGTTTTTCTAGGCCACTTGTGTCTTGGTTCAACAAAACCGTTCCAAAGATTCCAAAAGCTAGACTATGTTTAACTTCAAAATGTGTGACATGTTCTGGCCAACTGAATACAACTTGAATACCTGAAAAATATAAACGTTAAGCTGAGTTACTGCGATTTGAATCTGGTGGCCTAGAAAACCAAGTTTTTGAAAAACTCGGCCACTGAACAATGGGTCACTGAGCATATGAAAATATTCGTCACGTTTTCAGCAGTACTCTCCAATTTTCAGATTTCAAAACTATCGATTTTGAGGCGAGTTACAGCGGTTTGTAACTCGTGGCCTAGAAATTTCAAAAACTAGGCCATGTGCTACAAAACGCTGTAACTCGCTTCAAAATGGGAATTTTCGAAATTAAAAAACAGATTTAAGCTCAGCGAAAAAAACCACGTCAGACACATGTATTGGTTTGTGGTGGCCGAGTTTTCCAAAAACTTTGGTTTTCTAGGCCACCACTTTCAAATCGCTGTAACTCGGCTTAAAATTGGTTTTTCTAGGCCACTTGTGTCTTGGTCCAACAAAACCGTTCCAAAGATTCCAAAAGCTAATCTTTATTCGTTTCGAATCAACAATAGAGCACTTCCGATCGACTTTTATGAATCAGAAAATTTTTTTGGTTGGCTTTTAGAAAATAAAAATAAAAAGGAAAAATTCTCAAGAGGCAATTCTTCATAATTGTTGCAAACCGACCAGAACAGGAGGCAGGGAGATTTGTTTATTAGATACACATCCCGTAAAAAGTGGGCGGAGCCTAAATGTTCTGTCATCTCCCGCTCCTCATTGTTGGCTTTCTTCGCATAGAATTCCACATTTATTGGAATTTTTTAGATCGAAAAATGTTAATAAACTTTATTCCAATACTTATATTCTTGACTGAAATTGCTGCTTTAGAGACTACAAAGACTACAAAAGGTGAGAAATCCGAAAAATGAAGTCAAGAAGTACTTGAACCTCTGGTTCTGGCCGAATCCAATTAGTTTTCCGGCCGAACGTTCCCGATCTTTTGAATTTGGAGATCAAAAATTTATGGGAGAATAGATTAGAAGTTGTATAAAAAACCCCAGGTTTTAAAATCGAAAAATATTAATTTGAGGCCAAGTTTCAGCGATTTGAGAGTGGTGGCCTAGAAATCCAAATTGGTGGCCTAGAAATACTGAGGCTTTAAATTATTTTACATGAAATTGTTCGTCTTGTTTTTTGCAACTTAATAAATTTTTCAGATTTCAAAAATTCCAATTTTGAAGCGAGTTACAGCGATTTCAAAGTGGTGACCTAGAAATTCAATTTTTGGGCATTCTAGGCCATCGGAACATGGTTGCCGAAAATCAGAAAATATGTGTCACAGTTTTTGAAGTTCAAAGCATTTTTCTGATTTCGAACAATCCAATTTTAAAGCGAGTTACAGCATTTTGTAACCCATGGCCTAGTTTTTGGTAATTCTAGGCCACTGGTTACAAATCGCTGTAACTTGGCTCAAAATCGGTATTTCTAAAATTTAAAAACAGATTCGAGCTCACCATAAAAAACTACGTTTGATACACATACTTTATTTTGGTGGCCGAGTTTTTCGAAATTTGATTTTCTAGGCCACCACTTTCGAATCGCTGTAACTCGGCTCAAAATTTATACTTTTGAATTCTGAAAACAGATTTGAGCTCAGCATAAAAAATAACGTCGAACACATAAAATTTTTGTCTGGCCGATTTTTCAAAACTTGTATTTCTAGGCCACCATTTTGAAAATTGGATTGATAATGAACTTTTTCAAACCAGGTCGTGTTTATACTCAAAATGACGCTATTAAACTCCTGAATTCAAATTCAACACTTAAAAAATACAATTTTCTGATGGAAATCCATTTTCAGCCAAAAACCCAAATTTTCAGACCTAAAATGCGTCAATGGTCATCGACCACTTCTGGATGAAAATTTGCGGGTGTTTGAATGTGCAAGAGGTTGTCCGGACACTTTTTATTGTGAAAATCAGGTATTTTGAGTTTAAAAATGTTTAAAAATTTGAAAAAAGTTTAAAAAAGATTTTAAAAATTTAATGGAGAAAAAATGATTCTAAAAATTTGTCTCTTTCTCTTTTTTGTAGCTTTCTGGGTTAATTTTCCCTGAAAAACTTGATTTTTTCATTTTAAAACCTACAAAAATAGTTCAAAACACCTTTTTAGACCTACTTACTTTCCAGCACTGCTGCCCCAACACAACAGCAATTTCTCACTCGCTCTCCTCCCCCGCCGCCTCGGTGAGTTCCCCCTCCTCCGCCCTTCTTATACGCACTCCACCACCCTCTCTCTCGTCCTCCCATGTGGTCTAGTGGTTAGGATTCGTGGTTTTCACCCACGCGGCCCGGGTTCGATTCCCGGCATGGGAAGTTTCTATTTTTTCTTTTTTTTTGCTGCTATGTGTACGGTATCCCTGTTATTTTTAGACTCGTATCCGATATTTAAAGTCATTTTTTACAGTCAGGACACCCAAAAAACCTTCAATTCCAATTGGAAAGTTCCGCCGAACTGGAAAGAACAGTGTCGTGTGAGCGGTTTCCGTATAAGTCTGTTTTTTTTCTGAATTTCAAATAAAAACCTAAATTTTTATAGAATTTCATGCTCCAACTCAACGTCCCAGCCACTAGCAAAATGGTATTTCGATATACAGACCTTGGCTTGCGAGATGTATCCATTTGGAATGTGTGAGGATGATCCGTTAGGCAAACTCGCTCTACGGACAAAGGAGGAATGTGAGGAGAGGTGCGACGTGGCAAAAGTCAAGGAGGCACTGGAAAAATTGGGTCGAAATGAGCTGAGCAATGTTGAAGTACCAAATGAGTTGCCAGTGGTGCCAAATGGTGGGTAAAGTCAAAGAGAGTGTAAATGGGGCGCGTTTGCACACAAATCAAAATTTTAACTTATATTTTTGTTGCATAAATTAATTTTTGGTAAAAATTGGATCATTTTCCGAAAAAAAATTAGGCAAAAAGAACAAAAATGAAGCGAGTTATGAGGTTTTAAACTTGAAATAGCCAGATTTTGAAGATGTTCTCATTGGAGCGCATTTTCTGACTTTTGAAATTTATGAAGATTAACGAGTTCTATATTAAATGAAAGGCCGCAGAATTTTACACAATTTGATATAAAAATCAATAAAAAATATTGCAAATAGACAATTTTACAAAAATTAAAAAATATTGAAAATTGAAAAAAAAAATTTTTGGCTAAAATTTTTTTTTCAATTTTTTGAAAATTTTCGAAACTTCAAATAAATCAAGTTTATACTCATTTTGAAGCCCTTTTTCGTAATTTTCAATTTTCCTATTTTCAGCCGCCCAAATCGCCATTGATGACGTCATTCAGGAGTCCAAACACATCAGAGGCCGCCCATTTGCCATCGAACCGCCCACGGATTTGGTACATCAAATTCATGTGAAATCCGACAGAAAACCAATTGAAAAACTGATTGAAATCGACGAGAATCAATTGCTCACCACTAATCAAGACGATGGGATTACGGTACCTACAGGAACCTCGGATATTTTGGAAATTCTGAATGACGATGGAGACGTGGAAGGGTCCGGGACGTCTTCTAAGATTTCTGGGGGTTCTGGAATTCTAGAATCTGAGACGCTGGAATCTGGAGTTTTTGAGGAAAACGAAAATTCAGAAGAAAATCTGCAAGAGAACAAAATAACGGTGAAAATCGAGAGACAACAGAGAAGTGAGAAAAATTCAAAAAGTCTAAAATCGATGGGAGAGAGTTTTGAGCGATTTTATCAGAGAAATAAAGGTGAGTTAAACTCTAAAAATCGCAAAAATCGAAAAATTTTACACATTTTGATATAAAAATCAAGAAAAAATATTAAAAAAAATTGACAAAGTTACAAAATTTTGAAATTTGGAAAAAATTGGAAAAAAAATTTTTTTTTGAAAATTTGTTTCAAAAATTTCAAAATTAATTTTTTTGGGGTTAAATTCAGAAAATTTTCATATTTTCAATTGAAAAAAAAATAAAGCTTGCAAAAAAAAAACTTTAAAAATCCAAAAAATAGGGTTTTAAGTCTGAAACGACGAATTTCTAGCTGGTTATCATTGGAGCGCGTTTACTCATGAAAATCAAAATTTTTTATTTTGAATGTTATTTTATCTGAAAGCCCGAAAAAATTCAGACTTTTTGAACCTAAAATCAATAAAAAATATGAAAAATTGACGAAGTTACAAAATTTTGAAAATTTGAAAAAATCGAACAAAAAAAATTTTTTTTGAAATTTTTTCTATTTCAAAAATTCAAATTCCCGCCAAACCGTTCAAATTCAGATACCGTATCCTGTTCTGCCACTCCATACCGCCTTCTATGCCCCAATGGTGCTCCATCTCAATTTGTGTATCGATGGGAAAAAGTGGGCGGAGCCTGTCAGTCATTCCCATACGGATATTGTTTGGTAAGTACTCAGCTACAGTAATCCAAAATATTTTTTTTTCCAGAAACAACAGAATGTCCCCCATCCGAGGACGCGAGCCGAGTGCGAGCAGTTTTGTGATTAGAACTTTTTTTTGAGAAAATTTTTTTTTAGTTTCCGTGAAACCTGTAATAAAAGGGCATTCCGCTGCCACTGTCAAGTTTGAGCTCAATTATCTCAGTTCCTATAAGAGATATCAGAAATGTGTAAACTGATAAAATGTAAAGGATATTATGATAAACATATTATCAGTAGATCGCTTTTCAATATCTCTTACAGCAAATGAGATACATGGGCTCAAAGTTGAAAATTAGAGACCCTTCTATAACAGGTTTTACAGTTATTTATTTTATTTATTGATATTATAAGCTTTAATGAAGAATTTAATAAAAACAAAAAATTCGTTTTTTATTTGAAGTTCAGAAGTTCAGATTGGAAGCCAACCAAAGGATTTCAGATATTTAGAACAACCTTTAAAAGTTTAGAAAATTCAGAAATTTCAAAAATTCGAAATGCTAAAATTTTAATCAAATCAGAGGAATGTTCACATGTCCGTGAGCCGCACATTCTCTAACCAGGAGCTCGAATCGATCTTGAATGACGGTGTGCGGGATTTGCGTCTGAAATTTTTTTTTTCTGATTTTGTAAAAAAATGTTTCCGTAATACCTGTAATAGAAGGGCTCCCTAATTATCAACATTGAGCCAATTTATCTCGGTTCCTGTTAAAGATATAAAAAATTTGTCAACTGATAAATTGTTTATCATAATATCTTATACATTTTATCAGTTGACACCAGTGTGCCTTATCGACAAATGATTTGTCGACAAACGCCCTTTTCGACAAATTTATCGACAGATTTACCGGTAAATTTATCGGAAATTTATCGACAATTTGTCGATAAATTTGTCGATAAAAATGCTGTTTGTCGACAATTTATCGACAAATTTATCGACAAATTGTCGACAAATTGTCGACAAAAATTGCTATGAACCGCCGGAATTACTTGTAAAAAATCGTATCGTTACCATTTTTTTCCTAGGACGTCTAGAATGATGGAAGAGCTTACCCAGGCAAACTTTATAGGCTATCTGGCTTGGTGGCCCAACTTTCACAACATGAATTTTCTAGGCCACGATTCTTTTTAGTCTAGAAATGATCTGATGTTCACCTGGTGTGTTTTTAGGTCATTTTAACATGGTGGCCTAACTTTCGCGCGTGGAGTTTTCTAGGCCACCATGTAAAAATGGACTAGAAAACATACCAAATGAATATCTGATCATTTTTAAGCAAAAAAAGTTGGTGGCCTAGAAAACTCAACTTGCAAATGTTAGGCCACCATTCCAAAATGGCTTAGAAAACGTACCAGGTGAATATCTGACCATTTCTAGGCCAAAAAGATTGGCGGCCTAGAAAACTCATATTGCAAAAGTTAGGCCACCATGTTAAAATGGCTTAAAAACACACCATGTTAACATCAGATCATTTTCAGGTCAAAAAGTTTGGTGGCCTAGAAAATTCATGTAGGAAAAATTAGGCCACCAGGTCAGATGGCCTAGAAAAAAAAAGATGAGATGCGATTTTTTACTAGTAATTCCGGCGATCAATAGCAATTTTTGTCGATAAGGCACACAAACCTGTTATAGAAGGGTCCCTAATTTTCAACTTTGAGCCCATGTATCTCGGTTCCTGATAAAGATATCAAGAATTTGTCAACTGATAAATTGTTTATCATAATATTCTATACATTTTATCAGTTGACACATTTTTGATATCTCTTATAGGAGCTGAGATAATTAAGTTCAAACTTGACACTGTGGGGGCCCTTCTATTACAGGTTTTACGGTAGTTCCCATACCTGCTCCTCCTCCGCTTTTTTCATCAGAACTTCAATTTTAGCGGACGTTTTTTTCGAATAAATCATGTCCAATGTGACTTCAAAACACAAATTGTAGCTCCAAGCTGCCGTCTTGGCCTCATCGAATTTATAGTAGTACCCCGGTCCTCGAAATCCGAAATACGCATTCTCTGAAACATTTTCGGAAATTATTTTGATGTAAAATTCAATTTCAAATCGATAGGTATTAAAATCAAATTTGTAGCTTGAACATGAGCAAAGTTACAAGCCAGAAACCGCTAAGCTAGACGGTTGCAGATTTTTTCTTTGTCACTCCCTGTTGAGTAATTCCACATTTTCAAAAATTGAACGAAATTTTGAGCTCTGCACGCTGAGAGCTTCAAAATGAGCCCAAACACGACTAGGCTCCGCCCACTTTCATTTTTCCGACGCGTCGCGGTCGTGCGTCGCGTGTTCAGTGGAAATCTCAAAGTGGACGGAACCTAGTCATGTTTGGGCTCATTGAAAACTCTCAGCGGCAGGAATTCGAATAAATTCTATTCAATTTTTAAAAAAATCGATCCTACAAAAAACTACGGTAGAATCCCGTTTTGAGCTTTTATGAGTTTTAAGCAAAATTGTTGCACAACTTCTTCTAAAAAGCGTTCCAAGCATCCAAAACGGATAAAAACGCATTTTCCAAGGTCCCAACAAAAATCAAAAAATTTTTGGCACCTAGAGGAATCGAACTTTGGTGTTGAGATTGATAAAAATTAGGGTAAAACCCCACTAGGCCATCTGGGCATCAAAACTCAAAATGTTCAAAAATTACCGTTTTCGATGATTTTATGGGTTCAAAATAGGTTTTTAGTAGTTTTTTAATGTCTAGAAGCTCTGAGACCATTAAAAAAATACCAAAAAATTTTTTTTTCAGAAGTTTTGTTTCTATATGATTAAAAAAAATGATGCGGAATCTGAAAATTTATTTGAATTTCTAGGAAAAAATTCAAATTTAAAATCCTACCATTATTTTTAAATTGATATGCAATTCCAATAAATTATAATTAGACCCGTTGAACCTGAAATAATATTTTTTTTTTTTTTAATTTGAATTTCTGAAATTAATTTTTATTTTTTAATTCTACTAATTAAAAAAAAAACTCACCATATCTATAAAAAATATTCAAAAAAATCAAGAAAAAAAATTTAGGGCCCCGAATTCAGTTGGGTGCCCCCTGGCACGGACAAAATTAGAGACGAGAAATTAGAAGAGACGCAGAGAAAGGTTTCATGGGAGGGGGACTCTTATCTTTTGGTTTATAGGGATGAGAAGGGATTTTTGGAATTTGGGATTTCTCGGATTCCAAAAATCCGTGAATCTTGAAAATTCGAATATTCTGAAAATCAAAAAATAACTGAAGAAAGCTAGGGTTCCTGAAATTCTGGGGAAAAAAATCTAGGATTTTTTGGGTTTGTAGAGCTCTCATGATTTTAGGGATTTTAGCATATTTGTAAACTTTTAGAATTTCCAGATTTTTGGTTTTAAAAGAATCTATGAAAATTCAAATTTTAAAAGGATTTGAAAAATTCAATGATTTTCAATTTTTTTGGTTTTTTGGGATTTGGGAAATGTTTTTAAAATTTCAGATTTTCCAAATTTCTGAATTTCTGTAAATTCTGAAAGTTCGACAAAAATCAACAAAATTTAAAAAATCTAATTTTATTTTTAAAAAAAATATATATATATATAATTCCGAATCAGTAGCAGTGCCACATGTCTGAATTTCAAACAAAAAAAAATCAATAATTATTTTTAAAAAATTCAAAATTGGTAGACCGCAGTGCACAATTTCCGAGAATTCTGAAAATGAATTTTTAAACATTAAAAATTAAAATTTACAAACCTGGTCATGAAAATGGATAAGGAATGGGAAGCTGCACATTTTAGAGAATATGAAAAATCCAAAATCTGAAATTTTCAAAAAATTTAAAAAATCGGAAAATAAATAAATTTCCTACCTTAAATTCCAAAAAACCCGTTGCACATGTCGGTGTAACAGTAGCCCGTAATTCTGAAATTCCGAAAAATTAAAGCTGAGCAATCTTTTGAAAAAGAGGGCTGAAAAAAGAAAATTTGGAAAAAAATTTTCAAAAAAAAAAATTAAGATGAGCAATCCTTTAAAAAAAAACTAGAATTGCCTGAAAAACTGAGCAAGAAATGTTCAAAAAATTGGGAAGTTGCGCATCTTGGAAAATCTGAAACTTCGAAAAATTCGAAAATTCAAAAATTCAAAATTACCTTCAATTCCAAAAAACCCGTTGCAGCTGTCTGTCTGGCAGATGCCCGTAATTCTGAATTTTGAAAACTTTAAGCTGAGGAATCCTTCAAAAAAGACCAAAAATTACCGTAATACCCATAAAATCAGGGGTAAGGTGTAGGTGGGAAGTTGAATACTTTTGAATTTCTGAAAAATTGAATTTTGAAAAATCTGAAAATCTGAAAAACCTTCAAAACTCACCTAGATACCCATATTTTCAAAATTAAAAATTCCAGAAAAATAAGAATTTGAAACAAGCTTCATTCATTTTTAGAAGCTTCAAAAAAATTAGAAATAGTTCAAATATCAGAAAAATCAAAAAAAGACACCTAACCACGGCGTCGAATAGAGCTAGAATGAAGAGTCGCGCTGAAAAAGTGGGCGGGGCCTCTAGAGAATTTTCTCTGCGTCTCTCATATGTTTTCTTTAATGCTCTAGCAGGTGCCAGGTGGTGCCAGGGTGCTCTTTAAGGCTCTGATATCATAGGAGATTAGAGAAATAGTATTGAAAAAGTGGAGACGCAGATTTTGTTATTTGAAAAGGCAGCTGAGAATGAAAAATAGAGAACCCAGGGACCCAGGGACCCAGGGACCCAGGGACCCAGGGACCCAGGGACCCAGAGACCCAGGGGGGGGGGGGGATGAAGCTTTCAGATTTTTCAAAATTCAATTTTTCAGAAATTCAAAAGTATTCAACTTCCCACCTACACCTTACCCCTCATTTTATGGGTTTTAAGGTAAATTTAGGTATTTTTTGAAGGATTGCTCAGCTTGAAATTTTCAAAATTCAGAATGACGGGCTACTGCTTACCGGACATGTGCAACGGGTTATTTGTAATTTAAGGTAGGAAATTCATTTATTTTCCGATTTTTTAAATTTTTTGAAAATTTCAGATTTTGGATTTTTCATATTCTCTAAAATGTGCAGCTTCCCATTCCTTATCCATTTTCATGACCAGGTTTGTAAATTTTAATTTTTAATGTTTAAAAATTCATTTTCAGAATTCTCGGAAATTGTGCACTGCGGTCTACCAATTTTGAATTTTTTAAAAATAATTATTGATTTTTTTTTGTTTGAAATTCAGACATGTGGCACTGCTACTGATTTGGAATTTTATATACTGAATTTTAGAAAAAAAAATTATTGAAAAATATATTTACAGCATTTTCAGACAAATTACAGTAAATGAAAAATAGAGAAAAATGAAAAAAAAAATTAAATTTTTTAAACTTCAAGAAAAATAAATCAATAATCAGAAAGCGATGAATCCGAATATGGGTGACGTGTTCTATTCGGAATTTCAAATTTCCAGAATTCTTCTTTTTCAGATTCTCCATTCTCAGAGTTTACTGAAATTGCCTCTGAAATTTTGGATCTTTGATCAAAAAGGACACTTTAGAAATTTTCGATCTACCAAAATTTTTTTCGAAATTCCAAAGTTTTACGATTTTCTGAATTCCTGAATTTCTGAATTTTTGAGTTTCTCAATTTCTGAATTTCTGCACTTCTAAGTATCAGAATTACTGAATTTCTGAATCACCCGGACCAGGTCACCCGGATCCAGGTCACCTGGATCCAGGACCCAGGGCTTAGAATCCCCGGGTCACCTTCTCTGGAGCCCGGAGAAGGTGAGAACTGATTGTTCCTTTCATTTCCCTCTCCTTTTATATTACTTTCCCAGAGGTCAATGATTTCTAAACCAATTTTTTTCAGAATTTCAAATTTCTTGGTTTCTTTTTAAGTTTTTGTTTTCATCACGTTTAAATAGACTTGAATTTTTAGTTTTGAATCCAATGAAACTCCTTAAAAAGATATTGTCTATTCAAAATAATCGCGCGGGTGAACGAGTAAAAATGTCTGCGTCTCTTCAGCGCCTCTACAGGTTTGAAGACTCTCTACACGTTTTTTTACTCGTTCACCCGCGCGATTATTTTGAATAGACAATAGTTCTTTTGAACCTAATTATTTTGTTTCCTGTTTGAGACATCAGTGGAGTAATCAGGAACATGGTCACCATGTCAATACGACAAGTATCGTTTTTTATTCAAAAGGCCAACAGTGAACAGATAGAAGAAAAACGGCTCAAAAACAATGTTTTAGACGACGTTGGCGTTCTCCTCCAGGTTCTCCTTGATTTTGTCCACGACGATCTTCTCCGCCTTCTCCACAATTTGTACCCAAAGAGTCAGCTCCACATAGCTTCCGGTTCTCAGGATTTCTTCCACAGCATCATTCTGCATGGCATCTGAACTTCAACTTGCATCATCGGATTGTTTGGTGAGATACAACCATGTCAATTTCAGATTTTTAAATGGGCCCTAACTTTTGCTACAGTAACCCAAGACACTTGAAACTACAATTTTTGAAATTGAAACGTTGAGAGCTTCAAAATGAGTATAAACATGCCTAGGTTTAGAGAATTTTGAAAATCTACAGTAATCCCATGAAATTTTGAAGTGATGCGAATAGGGGCGTGTTTAGGCTTATTTTTAAGCGCTTAACGTTCTAAACTCAAAAATTGTAATTTCAAGTGTTTTGGGTTACTGTAGCGAAAGTTAGAGGCTCATTTGAAAATCTGGAAATTTCAAAATTTTCCGAATATTGGCTTGTTTGGGCTCATTTTGAAGCTCTGAATGGCTCGAATTCAATTTTTTAACTTTCGAAATTAAATTTTGGAATATTCTCAGCAAAAAAAAACTAACATTTACATTTTCAGTAAAAATCAAAAATATAGAAAATCTGGATAGATACACACTCCGTCTCAGAATAACTAGGAATAACCAGAAAAATAAAAAAGGTCCCAAAAATCAGATAGGGTCCATTGGAAGTTTAATAATGAGAATAGATAGCGCGGTTCTCTATACCCCCAAAGGGAGGGGGCGGAGTTTAGACAGATGGTGTCGGTGTCCCGCCAAAGGGACATGAACAAACACGTGTCGACAGACAAGAGAGAAAAGAGACGCAGAGAAAATAATCACCCTTTAATTGCCTTTTTGGCGGAACGCCGACACCTTAATGGGGAAAATTTGAAAATGTTCGTTTTTTTGGGATTTTCGAACGGGTCCTAACTTTTGCTACAGTAACCCAAACTTCTCATAATACTAATTTTTGATTTTAAAACGTTGTGAGCTTCAAAACGAGCCTAAACACGCCCCTATTCGCTCCGCTTCGAAATTTCTTGGGTCCCTGCCCATGGGATTACTGTAGATTTTCAAAATTCTGAAAAACTAGGCTTGTTTATACTTATTTTGAAGCTCTCAACGTTCTAAGTTCAAATATTGATATTTGAAGTGTTTTGGGTTACTGTAGCGAACGTTAGGGCCTGGTGGAAAATCTGAAAATGAGTTCATTTTGAAGCAAAAAAATGGCACATTGAATTCAAATTTAACATATTTATTAATCATTCACATCAAATTTTAAACCAATCCCGATCCATTTCTCTGTAGGCCTAGCTTGGTGACTCCGTGTGTTTTGCTCTGGGTTGGCATCCGGAGCTTGATATCCGCGGACTCCTGTAATTAGAAATTTTTTTGAAAAACCTTTTTTTTTTAATTGAAAAATTTGAAATTTATCTAACTTTGTAGGTTGAAAATGTCTCAAAAACCTAATTTTTTGAATTTCTGACATTTTCAGCTTTGAAATAAGCCTAAACACGACCCATTTTGGTCATTTTTTGATTATTTTCAAAATTTAAAGGCGCATGAACCCGGAAAATTTCAGAATTTCTCAAAATCATCCAAAACTAGTCGTGTTTGGGCTCATTTTGATTGTCTAGCCATGACAAATTTAAAAATGTTAAAATATTCAAGTTTTGAACAATATTCGAGAAGTTACAAAGGTTTGAAAAATTTGGAAATTTTTCAAAAAAGTTCAAATTCAACCATAACCTTTCGCTTTGTTCCAGAAATAACAAAAATTATCTCATTGTGTTCAACTTGTGGAAACAAGCAGAATGAGCCCAAACACGACCTATTCTGGTCATTTTTGAAAATACCTCACCCAGCCTCCTTTAGATGGTTCCGCTTCGATCAATCTCTTGGCTTCGTTCAGGCCATCAAACCACCTTGACCGTGTCCTCCACATGGACAGCCTTCATTCGCTGTAAAATTTCCCTAGTTTAACAACTAAATTAACCAAAAAGTCACTCACCGGCTCATCGCATTTGAAGTGCGAATTCTTTTGAGTGCTCAGATAACGCACATGCCACTCTCTCTCTCCGTCCACGGTCGTGGAGCAACATTGTCGATCGATGGCATGGCTGAAACGAAATAACTTGTCTCTCTCAAATTTCAATTCTATGTAGCTTCAGAATTTTAAAGATGAAAACACACTTGAGCTGTTATAAGAACTCAAAAAAAAAAATATCTCCACAATTTTGCATTGAACAGCAACAACTATATTAACACTTTGAGCTCAATTATCTCGATTTCTATAAGAGATACCCAAAAAATGTCAACTAATAAAATGTTTGTGATATCATGACAAATATTTTATCAGTTGGAAGATTTTTGATATCTCTCATAGCAATTGAGATAATTGAGCTCAAAATGCAAGTATCATTAGAGACGTTGCCATTTTCCCCCCGAAAATGGTTCTTCAAAACTAAAGAAGATCTAGCGATTTCAGAAGTGTGGACCAACTCTATCACCATGAATTTATTCTTTTTTGACCTCTTACCTGTCTCGAATCCGAATTGACGATGGGGCGATGAAGGAAGACGAGGAGCTCTTCTGTCGAAATCGATCGCTGTCGAAGATTCTGCAAGAACATCGAATGTACAATGTAAAGCGCGTGTGAAATTCGAAAATTTGATTTTCCGACGTTTACAGCTTTCAAATGAGCCCAAACAAGCCAACATTTGGAACAATTTGAAAAATTCTCAGATTTTCAACGGTCCATAACTGTTGCTACAGTAACCGAAAACACGTCAGATAACAATATTTGATCTTAGGAAACGTTGAGAGCTTCAAAATGAGTATAAACATGCCTAGTTTTGGAGAATTTTGAAAATCTACAGTAATCCCAGGCGCAGGGACCCAAGAAATTTTGAAGTGGAGCGAATAGGGGTGTGTTTGGGCTCATTTTGAAGCTCTCAACGTATTGAACTCAAAAATATGTAGTTACGCTGTTTTGGGTTACTGTAGCAAAAGTTTGGACCCATTTGAAAATCTAAAATATTCAAAATATTTCCAAACATTAGCTTGTTTGAGCTCATTTTGAAGCTCTAAATGGTGCAAACTCAATTTTCCTAAATTCACAAAGTTTTGAGGATTTTGGGACCAAAATTTAACTTACGATTTCAGAAAAATCAAAATTCTAGTAATTCTGGACCCATACACACTGGTTCTCAGAATAACTAGGAATAAGCAGAAAAATAAAAAAGGTCCCAAAAATCAGTCAGGGTCCATTGAGAAGGCTAATAATAAGAATGAAAATAGCGTTGCTCTATACCCCTAAAGAGAGGGGGCGGAGCTCTGGCAGATGGCCATGGTGTCCCGCCAAAGGGACATAAACAAACACCTGTCGACAGACAAGAGAGAAAAGAGACGCAGAGAAAATAATCACCCTTTAATTGCCTTTTTGGCGGAACGCCGACACCTTTAATGGGGAAAATTTGAAAATGTTCGTTTTTTTTGGGATTTTCAAATGAGCCTCTAACTTTCGCTACAGTAACCCAAAACACTTGAAATTACATGTTTCATTTTTAAAACGTCGAGAGCTTCAAAATGAGCCTAAACACGCCCATATTTTTTCCACTTTGAAATTTCATGGGTCCATGCCCCTGGGATTACTGTAGATTTTCGAAATTTTCCAAAACTAGGCTTGTTTATACTCATTTTGAAGCTCTCAACGTTTTAAGTTTAAAAATTGCATGTTCAAGTGGTTTGGGTTACTGTAGCCAAAGTTAGGACCCATTTAAAAATCTGAAATTTTCAGAATTTTCAAAATTATGGCTTGTTCGGGCTCATTTCGAAGCTCTAAACGCCGGGAATTCGGAAATTCAAATATTAGGAACTTATTGTTGTCTGTTTTGAACGTTTGCAGAAATTTAACTTTTTTGGATTCCAAAGTTTTGAAACCCAAAAAACCGCTAAAATCGGAAAAAATTTGTTTTTCAATAATGACAGTTAGGGGACAAATGGGAGAATTGGGACATTCTAGGCATATAATTAACGTTGAAATTTTAATAAGCAAGAAATTTCCGACATTTAAAGCACGAATTTGACTACTTTCTGAAAATTTAGATTTTCATCAAATTTCAGAATTCAAAAATTCAAAAATTCCGAAAAAATCAATATCCTCCAAATTTGGTCATGTTTGGGCTTAAAATGTCAGAAATTTTGTGAAAAATTTGGATTTTTTGTTTATTTTCATGTTTAGACAGTCCCAATGTCCCATTTGTCCCCTAACCGTCGAACTTGAAAGTTTTCAAAAATATTTGGAATTTTTTGGTATTTCTGGAGATGTTCAATTTTGTTCAAAAGTAGTCAAATTTGGACTCAAAATGTCGGAAATTTTGTGAAAAATTTGGATTTTTTGTTTATTTTCATGTTTAGACAGTCCCAATGTCCCATTTGTCCCCTAACTGTAAGACTCGAAAATTTCCAAAAAATCCAAAAAAATTTTGGATTTTTTGGAAATGCTCAATTTTCACCAAAACTAGTCAAGTTTAGGCTCAAAATGTCAGAAATTTTATGAAAAATTCAACATTTTCAATGATTTTGTGCCTAGAATGTCACATTTGTGCCATAACTGTCTAACTCAAAAATTTCCAAAAAAAATGTTTTTAATTATTTTTTTTGGAATTTTTGGAGATGTTCAATTTTGTCCAAAAGTAGACAAATTTGGGCTCAAAATGCCAGAAATTTTATGAAAAATTTGAATTTTATAATTTCAAACTCTAAACTTTGAGCTGGCATTCCTAAAAACCACCATCATTTCTCAATATCACCATTTATCCTTTAATTTTCTCAATTTTGGCTCATTTTTCATCATTTTTTCCCATTTTTTTTCTGGAAAAAAAAGCAAATACGCTCTATTGAACACTTTCTGTCATTTCCCATCTGTTTGTGCCTCTTTTCCAAACAAACAGACACCCGGAAAGAGGACACAAACCACATTTTCCTCCCCTTTCCCTCTTTTTTCTCTAAATCTCTCTCTCTCTCTCTCTCTCGAAAAATTTTCTATTTCACAATATATATTTTCCTTCATCTTTTTCTCACTCGTGACTTTTTCTGGTTATTAATTTTCTGGGAACCATTTTTTGACCTAGAATTCTTAAAATTTCAAAAAACCCGATTTTTTCAAATTTTCAGTTTTTAATTTTCAGCCAATACAATGTCCAAACTGGAACCGATTTGGCAGAATTTGCCATTACACTTCAAATCAAAATGTGTACAAAAATTGGATTATAAAAGTCGGTGAGTAGAAAGGTTTGGCGGGAAATTTGAAAATTTTCAAAATTTCAAAAATTCCTAAAAATCAAAATTCTGCAAAATTGGTCATGTTTAGGCTCAAAATGTCAGAAATTTTGTGATAAATCTGGTCTATATGTTTTCAAGCCTGTCCCAATGTCCCATGTGTCCCCTAACTGTCCAAATTCGAAAATTCAAAAAAAACAACATGTCTCAAATTTTTTGGAAAATGACAGTTAGGGGACAAATGGGACCATTGGGACATTCTAGGCCCCAAACTTGACTATTTTCGGAGAAAATTGGAAATTTTGAAAATTCAGAAAAAAGTTTTCTTGGATTTCTGGAAAATTTGGACTTCGACAGTTAGGGGACAAATGGGACATTGGGACATTCCTGATTGAAAATAAACATTTTAATCATAGTTTTCATGAAATTTCAAACATTTTGAACCCAATTTTGACCATATTCTAAATATTTTGATTTTCGCCCAAAATTTTTTTATTTTGAAAATGACAATTAGGGGACGATTGGGGACAAGTGGGACATACTAGGCGAAGAACCATTTAAAAATTTGGATTTTTCATAAAATTTCAGAGATTTTGAACCCAAATTTGACCATATTCGGAATATTTAGTTTTTTGGTGAAAAATTCCAAAACTCCAAAAAATCAAAATTGCTCAAAACTGGTCATATTAGTGCTAAAAATGAATCAAATTCATTCGAAATTTCGGTCCCAAATGTCCCCTTTGTCCCATTTGTCCCATTTGTCTCAGATTAATTGTTTTCTAAAATCCTGAGAAGACATCTAGGGGACACAAATGGGACGTTGGGACATTTTTAGTTGGAAACTACTACTGAAATCGTATTTTCCATCAAATTTCCGACATTTTTGAACCCAAATTTGACCATATTCGGAAATTTTTGATTTCTGAAAAATTTGAAAAAATGCAAAAAATTGAAAAATCTCAAAAAATCAAAATTGCTCAAAACTGGTCATATTAGTGCTCAAAATGTCAGAAATTCTGTGAAAAAATCAAATTCATACGAAATTTCGGTCCCAAATGTCCCCTTTGTCCCATGTGTCCCTTAACTGTCAAATTTTGGAAAAAAATTCCAGTTGCTCGCTTCGAAAATGCTCCAAACTCGACATGCACATTGTGGATATCTCTCCAAATAATCTGAATTCTCTGGCTATCAATACCTACGAAAATTACTCATTTTTATCATGGTCCAACGATGGGGACACAGTTTTCTCGGTGAAATATTTCAAAAATTTGGGAGAATCCGATATGAAAATTGAGTTTTCTGCTTCTCCATCCGTCTATTTACCCGGCAAAAATCAAAAATCGATATTCAAAAAATCGATTTTTCTGGAGAATTTGGATCCGGACTCCGATGACCTGGATTTTGTGCTCAGCGATTTCAAAATCGCCCAAAAGAAGTTAAATTGCAAGAAATCAATAATCAACGACTTCATTCTGAAAGAATATCACCCCATTGCTCATCCGGATCGTACCATGGAATTCCGTGAACGTCTTCTGAATCAGATGACGTCATCCGGTCAAAAAAATCAGATAAAAACCGAGATTTTGCACTTAAAATGGCACAAAAATCCGCAAGAAATTGCCGAAATTCTGAAAATGTTCGAATCGAAAAATCTGAAAAAATTGGAGTTTTCTGATAGAAACGCCACGTGGCAAATGGCTGAAATTACAAAAACTGAGCAATGGATTAAAGCTGAGCAATTGTGGATGGAAGTGATGGCGGAGGATTTGAAAATTGAAGATTTTCGGCATTTTTCGGAAATTCAAATGCACGTCAGAGATTTGGAGGAGAAGGACTTGTGGAGTGTTATACAGGTATTTTGAGCCAAAAATTTGAATTTTTTATAAAATTTGGGACATTTTGAACCCTAATTTGACTATTTTTGAAGAAAATTGATCTTTTAAATATTTTGAAAAAAAATTTTTTTGGAATTTCGGGGGGAAAAGTTAATTCGACAGTTAGGGGACATAAGGACATTCAAGGTTTAAAATTGATTAAAAATTTAAATTTTTCATAAAATTTGGGACATTTTGAACCCTAATTTGACTATTTTTGAAGAAAATTGATCTTTTAAATATTTTGAAAAAAAATTTTTTTGGAATTTCGGGGGGAAAAGTTAATTTGACAGTTAGGGGACATAGGGACATTCTAGGCTAAAAATTGACAAAAAATTCAAATTTTTCATAAAATTTGGAACATTTTGAACCCTAATTCGACTGTTTTTGGTGAAAATTGAATTTTAAAAATTACCAAAAAAAACTTTTTTTTTGAATTTTGATATTTTCATGTTAGACACCTATGGAAAATGGGACATCCTAGGCCCAAAAATTGACTGCAAATTCAAATTTTTCATGAAATTTCAGACATTTTGAACCCCAATTCGACTATTTTCGATCTAAATTGAATTAGAAATTTTTTTGAAAAAAACATTTTTTTGGATTTTTGGGAGTTTTCTAGTTCGACAGTTGGGGGACATTGAGACATTCTAGGCACAAAATAACAAAAAATTAAAAATGTCCGTAAAAAAACTGAAATTTTAACAAAATCGAAAAAATAACAATTTTTTGGGAAAATTTTTTGGTGGACAGTTAGGGGACACATGGGACATTGGGACACTCTAGGTCATAAATTCACCAAAAAAATTCAAATTTTGGACCTCAATTTGATTATTTTTGATGAAAATTGAATTTTTCAAATTTTGAACTCAAAACATAGACATTTAGGGGACAAAACGGGACATGGAGACACCCTGAGCATAAATTGAGCCGAAAATCAAGTTTTCCATTAAATTTTTAAAATTTTGAGCTCAAGATTGAGTACTTTTGATAAAAATTAATTTTTCCTAATTTTTCGATTTTTAGCTCAAAAATTCCCAAAATCAAAATTTTTCAGATCCAGCCAAATTTAGGCTCAAAATGTCAGAAATTTTATGACAAATCCAAAAATCTAGTTCATTTCCACTAGAAACTTATGGAATTTCCAGAACTTCCGCTCCAAAAATCGATATGGTGCATCGTTCCACTTCACCTATCGTCAAGGGGAGCCCGATTTGCAGCGGATTTTGGCAACGTTCAATGTGATTCCAGACGATAAACCGATAAGAGCAGCCACACAGATGTATGTAAAAATTTGGGCTTCATTCAGACAAATTTAAGCCGATTTAGGCTTCAAAATAAGCCAAAATAGTCCAAAAACGGTCAAAATCGGCCTAAAACGACCGATTATGGACCATTATGGACCATTTTTGCTGAAAATTTCAAACTTTTTTCTGAAATTTCCAGAAGATCCATACTGGAACGTCGTATCAATCACACTCAACGATTCCAATTATCAAATCCGGATCTTATTTTGGTCGTTATGATTGCTGATAAGGAAGTCTGGGGTACTGTATGCCACGTGGCAAATGTCGATGTGGAGGCAAAAGTGGAAACTGGAATGTTGAGATAATTATTGATTTTTTGAGCTTTTGAAGTTTTCATAAAATTTCAGAGATTTTGAGCCCAAACACGACCGAATTTGGGGAACTTTGAGTTTTCAGGTTTTTTGAACGGGTTCTAACTTTTGCTACAGTAAACCAAAACACTCGAAACTACAATTTTTGAATTTAGAACGTTGAGAGCTTCAAAATGAGTATAAACATGCCCTAGTTTTATAGAATCTTGAAAAACTACAGTAATCCAAAATTTTAAAGGCGCACTGACCCATGAGATTTCAAAGTGAAGCGAATAAGGGCGTGTTTAGGCTCATTTTGAAGTTTTTAACGTTTTAAAAGTTATGTAACTGGCAAGACAGGCTGAAATTTTCAGGAAATTGATTTTTAAGCGATTTAAGCCAATAAAACGATGCACCATGTCGAGTGCTATGCTGAAAATGAAGTTTCTGGAAGTTCTAGAAGATTCTAAGCAAAATTATATTGATTTTTGAATTTTTCATGAAATTTCTGACATTTTGAGCCCAAAAACGACCGGATTTGGAGAAGTTTGATTTTTGGGAATTTTTAAAATTTTTGGAATTTTTCTGAAATTTCAGCCAAAAATCGAAATTTTCCAAAATGGTCAAAATTGGGTTCAGAATGTCGGAAATTTGTTGAAAATTTGGTTTCAATGTTTATTTCTTGCTTAGGAACATTCCAATGTCCCATTTGTCCCATAACTGTTTCAGTCAATGTTTCAACGATGAACCATGTCGAATGCTGAAAATGAAATTTCTGGAAATTCTTGAAGATTTTAAGCAACATTATATTGATTTTCGAATCTGTCTTAAAATTTCTGACATTTTGAGCCTAAATTTAACCAAATTTGGCGAATTTTGAATTTTGGGATTTTTTGGAATGTTTTCCCGAAAAATCAAAGTTTTCAAAAATGGTCACATGTGGGTTCAAAATGCCAGAAATTTGTTACAAAAAACGATTTAGATGTCTAAATCTTGCCTGGACTTGTCCCCATGTCCCATTTGTCCCATAACTGTTTCAGCCAATACAACGATGCACCATGTCGACTGCTGAAATAGAGATTTCTGGAAATTCTAGGAGTTTCTGCGGGAAATGAATTTGATTTTTGAATTTGTCAAAGAATTTCTGACATTTTGAGCCTAAATTTGACTAAAAGTGGAGAATGTTGATTTTTTCAGATTTTTGGAATTTTTTTCAGCCAAAAATCAAAATTCCCAAAAAAAAGGTTTGAAATTTTGTGTAAATTACAAGTTTATTTTTTGCCTAGGAACATCCCAATGTCCCATTTGTCCCATAACTGTTTCAGTCAATGTTTCAACGATGAACCATGTCGAATGCTGAAAATGATATTTCTGGAAATTCTAGACGTTTCTGAAGGGAATAAACTCGATTTTTGAATTTTTCATAAAATTTCTGACTTCTTGCGTCTAAATTTGCCCAAAATTGGGGAATTTTGAACATTGAAATTTTTTTTTGGAAAATTTCGAATTTCTGGAATTATTCTCGAAAATCAAAATTTTCAGAAAATGGTCCAATTTGGGTTCGAAGTGTTTGAAATTTTGTGCTAATCACAATTCCAAAGTTAATATCTTGCCTGGGGACGTTCCAAAATCCCATTTGTCCCCTAACTGTCATTTGGAGAAATTTGGAATTTTTGAATTTTTTCAGTTTTCTGGATTTTTTGGTTTTCAGAGTCTAAAGTTCAGATGATTTTTAATTTTTTATCAGTTTTCTGACATTTTGAACCCCAAAAACGACAACATTTGGAAAATTTTGATTTTTCGGAAATTTTCGAATTTTGCTTTTTTTTCGAAATTTCCAAAAAAAATCTTTAAAAAAAATTTTTTTTTTAGTTTCAGACTTCAAAATTTGTCCCGATTTTTGAATAAATTTTTAAACGATTTTTCGGGAAATTTCCGATTTTTCCGATTTTTCCAAAATTCAATTTTTTTGAAAAATTAGATTGAAATCTCTCAAAATTCACTCCATTTTCAATGTTTATCTCTAACAATTAGATCGGAAAAAAACATTTTTCCGGGATTTTTTAAATGAAAAACAGGAAATAAAAGGAATGGAAAATTTTGGGAAAAAATCTAAAATTTTTTGAAAATTTCCCTAAAAATTACTGCATTTTTTTACAATTTTTCAACTATGACAGTTAGCTCTGGATTACGGTAATTGCTCAGAATTAGTTGGCAAATCTACAGTAACCCTGGGAAATTTTCCAGATGCATTTTCTTCATTTTCGCCGTTTTTCTGATTTTTTCAAATTTCATTTTTATTTTAAAAATGCTGATTTTTTCTGGAAATTCTGAAGTTCTGAATCCAAGAGGAAGGGTTTCCAGACTGGATTTTTTCAAGAATAATATGACTATTGGTAAGAGTTTTGAAAATTTAAAAAAAAATGTTCAAAATTCCAAAAATCAGAATTTTCAGACGAAATAATTGAGCTCAACGATTTTTACAACAAACACAATTTGGATATTCTCGGAGACTGTATTAAGCGAAATCCAATGACACATCCGAAATGGTGTGAATATGAGGTGACATTGTTTACGACACAAAGGGGACAAATGGGACATTTTGGGATGAAAATTCAATGATATTCGTTTTTTCCATAACATTTCTGACATTTTGAGCCTAAACATGAACAATTTTGAAAAATTTTGATTTTTGGGATTTTTTTGGAATTTTTCTGAAATTTCAGCCAAAAATCAAATTTCTCATAAAATGGTCGATTTTGAGTTCAAAATGACAGATACTTGTTGGAAAATACGATTTCAATGTTTATTTTCAGCCAGGAATGTCCCATTTGTCCCATTTCTGTCCCCTAACTGTAATTATTGAAAAGTTCTGAAAATGAACTTTTTCTGATTAATGGACACAAATGGGACAAAGGGGACATTTAAAACAGAAATTTCGGCTGGATTCATTTTTTTCATAAGATTTCTGACATTTTGAGCCCAAACATGACCAATTTTGAGAAATTTGGATTTTTGGAGTTTTTCTGAAATTTCAGCCAAAAATCAAAATTTTCAGAAAATGTTCAATATTGGGTTCAAAATGTTGGAAATTTTACGGAAAATACGTTTTTTTGTGTCAATTTCTATCTAGGAATGTCCCATTTGTCCCATTTCTGTCCTCGAAGTGTAATTATTGAAAAGTTCTGAAAATAAACTTTTTAGATGAAGGAACACAAATGGGACATTTGGGGACAATTGGGATCAAAAATACAGTTAGATTTGATTTTTCAATGAAATTTCTGACATTTTGAGCCCAAACATGACCAAATTTGGGTGGATTTGATTTTTGAGATTTTTTGGGATTTTTTTGGAATTTTTCACCAAAAATCAAAAATTTCGGAATATGGTCAATATTGGGTTCAAAATGTTGGAAATTTAATGGAAAATACGTTTTTTCATGTCAATTTTCATCTAGGAATGTCCCAAATGTCCCATTTGTGTCCCCTAGCTGTCTTTTTTGAAAAAATTCCATTTTCCAAAAATTTCCACATTTATCTCATAACTTTGCTCATTTTCAGCCAAATTTGAAAATTCAAACAGATTTGAGTTCAGCTCAACAAGACGGTCAAAATGAGTATGATTATAAAAAAATCGAAAAAATTTGATTTTTGAGATTTTTCCAAAAAAAAAATCAAATTTTCCAAAATTTTCAAAAATTTCAGGGAGATGGTCCGGCTATAAAAGTGGTGCTCTTTGGAAATAGTTACACATGGAATCATCATAAAATGATAATTCAAGAGTGTAGACATCAAGTGAAGAACTTTACAATGGATTCTGAAGAAGGTTGGGAACTTTTTTTCAAAATTTTGATTTTTGGGACAAATGAGACCTTCTGGGGACAAAATAAAAAAATCTAATTTTTTTTTCATAAAATTTCTGACATTTTGAACCCAAAATTGACCATATTCGGAAATTTTTGATTTTTGACTGAAATTTCAGAAAAAAATTCCAAAAATCAAAGTTTTCCAAAATTGGCCATGTTTCGGCTCAAAATGTCAGAAATTTAGTCGAAAAAATGAATCTAGACAAAATTTCAGTCCTAACTGTCCCATTTGTCCCATTTGTGTCTTCCAAAATATTCACCAATTTTTTTTGTTTGCAAATGCCATTTAGGAGACACAAATGGGACATTGGGAGATTCCTGGTTCAAAATAAACGTTAAAATCGTGTTTTCCATCGAATTTCCGCCATTTTAAACCCAAAATTGACCATTTTCTCTAAGTTTTTATTTTTGGCTGAAATTTTCAGAAAATTTCCAAAAATCCAAATTTCTCAAAATTGGTCATGTTTGGGCTCAAAATGTCAGAAATCTTATGAAAAAAATGAATCTAGCCAAAATTTCTGTTTTAAATGTCCCCTTTGTCCCATTTGTCCCGTTTTTGTTCAAAAAATTATTAAAAAATCACGATTTTCAAAATTTCAGGATGTGAACCTTTGGCTGCAACGAGCCTATTTCCAGGTTGCGACAAGAAATTAGAGGATTTTTCAGCACTTTTAAAAGCCATACGACCCCATTATGCATTTATTTTGTCCAGGTAGGAAATTTTGAAGTTTTGAAAAAAAAATTTTTTTTTGAAATTTTTAAAAATTTTCAAAAATTCAAATTTCAGTATTTCTAGACTGAAATTTTATGAATTTTTCAAATTTCTAACCCAAAAAACCCCAACAATTCCAGATTTTACGCTGTCGCCGAGCCATTTACCAATAACGTGATGGATTTGGAGAATGACCGAATTTTCCTGCAAATGAGAGCTCAATTACGGAGATTTTTGCCTAATATCCGGCAAAAATTGTATATTTTGGACACAATTCCACGTGTCATTGGGCAGAATGTCCAAAATATTGGAAGGGATTTGAAGAAGGGCGTTAGTCCGGAAGAGATTAGTGTAAGTTGGAAAATTTTGAAAAACATTTTTTTTTTGAAACTCGGTCATGTTTATACTCATTCGAACCGGCTTAATCTGCTGAGTTCAAAAATATTACAATTGTTCGGTTTGGACAAAAATGAGCAATGTTATGAGCAATTTCGTGCTTCAAAATGAAAAATTTTGAAATAAATCTTTTTTTCGAAATTTTTTTCTTTTTCTTTGCAAAAGTATGTCATGTTTATACTCATTTTGAAACTCTTGAGTTGAAAAATTCGAATTAAAAAAAAAATTCAAAATGAGCAATCCCAGACTACTGTAGACCATTTTTCCAGAAAACTCTGTACACCTCGGATGGCTACGAGAGAGGGCGTCTTCGGCATGCCGCCCTGCTAAAGGAATGTTTTGGGAAATGCGAAATTATCGATTATTTGCCGCTGTTGACCCGAAATTTCACAGTTTTACCACAATTTTTCGATGATTCTGGAATTTCGTTCTTCACCAGTCTTGGACACCTTTCTGCGCATGGAATTGAACTTGTTCGACCCATTTTTAGAGATATTTGTGATAAATTACAGGATAGATAAATGTTTTTCGTACTTTTTCTGTGTTTTTCTGTCTTTGACATTTTGAATTTTCAAAATCGAACCAAAATTAAGAAAGTTATGAAAATTTGAAAAATTCATAATTTTCAAAAAAAAATTTTTTTTTTTGGTTTTTAGTAATTTTATGAATTTTTATCCGATTTTTATGTTTTTTAGACCAATCGATAGCATTTTTTCTGAGCTTTAATTCATTAGTTAATTAAATTTTTAAAAAATTAAGTTTTACAACAGAAAACGCGCTCTAAAGACAACTATAGCCAAAATCAGTCAAAGCTTCATTTAAACCGAAAATATCTTATCACCAAATTGACAAACATATGTAAAATTGTAGCAATTTAAAGATGAGAAAATTTCCTATCGTTTCCACTTTGAATTTTCGAAATTGAACGAAAATTAAGAAAGTTATGAAAATTTGAAAAAAAAATCAAAATTTTCCAAAAAAAATTTTTTTTTTGGTTTTTAGTAACTTTATCAATTTTCATGCGATTTTCAAGTTTTTTATACCAATCAAAAGCATTTTTTCTCTACTTTTATTTACTAGTTAGCTAAATTAACAAAAAAATGATTTAGAAGTAGAAAACGCGCTCTAAAAACAACTAAAGCCAAAATCAGTCTAATCAGTGTATCCTTCATTTAAGCCGGAAAATTCTTAATAAAAAATCACACAATTTACAGAAGTTAATATAAAACTGATCGATTGAGAATACTCTAAAACTTCGATTTCAGCGATTTTCAGACGGTTTTTCTGAAATTTTCGAAAATGGAAGAGTTTTGGTGGCCTAGAAAACCAAATTTGAACTTTTGGTGAACTCGGAGTGATAAACTAGCCTAGAAAGTCTGGAAAGCACAAAAATTAACCAAAAAAGGCCGTTTCTAGCCACTTTTCTCATAGTGGCCTAGAAAACCAAAACTCGGCCACCATGCCAAAAACGTCAAAAATGGCCTTTTTCGATCAATTTTTGGGGTTTTTAGGGTCAAATTTTGTGTTAAACCTATCTAGAACACTCAAAACCTTTGATTTCAGCGATTTTCAGACGGTTTTTCTGAAAATTTCGAAAATGGAAGAGTTTTCATGGCCTAGAAAACCAAATTTGCTATTTCGACGATTTTAGGATAAAAAACTAGGCCAGAAATTGATAAAATTCAAAAAAAAAATGACCCAAAACGGTCATTTCCAGCCTTTTTTCTGATGGTGGCCTAGAAGACCAAAACTCGGCCACCATGCGAAAAACGTCTAAAATGACCGATTTCGATCATTTTTTGGGGGTTTTTGGGGGTCAAATTTTGAGGGAAATTGATAGATTTTTAAAAAATAAATATGAATTTTCGAAAAAAAATTTCCATTTTTCAAAAATTACAAAAATAAATAAAAACTTTTATTTCCAATTAAATAATTAATTTTTCAAAAAATTGATATCACATAATTAGCGGCACATTTTTTTCCCGATAGTTACGAAAAAAAACAACAATTCAAAAAAAAATTTTTTTTTGAAATTTTTTTTTCAAAATTTCCAAAAAAATCCCCTAAACACCCGAATAAAGCGAGTAAAAATAGACGTAGAGCAGAAAAACAGGATAAACGACGAGCGGTTTTTTCGCTTGGAGCTCGTCGACACACAAGAGGGTTCCGGCCGAGTAGACGGACCATACTGTACCAAACATGCCCAGCGCGTTGGATAGAAGACGGTATCTGGAAGAAAAATGGCTGAAAATGACCATTTTTGAGCAAAAAACGGTCAAAAATGACGAAAAAAACATTTTTTTTGTTGGTGGCCTAGAATTTTCAAAAACTCGGCCATGGGTCAAAAAACTCGGCCGCGAGGTAAAAAACGGGTTTTTGGGTCGAATTTTGACAAAAAACGAGTTCAAAATCTGAAAAATTCGGTAAAAAATGATAAAAATTGACAAAAATGACGAAAAATGTTGGTGGCCTAACTTTTTCAAAAACTCGGCCATGGGTCAAAAATGGCCTGAAATGCGTTTTATTTTCCAGTTTTTTGGTGGATTTTAGCTGAAAATAAGTTAAAAATCTGAAAAATTAGGCGAAAATGACCTGAAAACCAAAAAAAAAGAAGGTGGCCTAGAATTTGCAAAAACTCGGCCACCTTCAAATTTGGCTCAAAATGGCTCAAAATTTCTCCAATTTTTACAGTAATCTCACCCGCTGAACAATGGAGTCACCAACGACGTCACGACAAGCGGAATCAGACAGTATCCCACGATTCCGAGCACTTGAGAGTATCCAACGTCTCCGCCCAGAGCCCGCGCGATGAAATACACCATAAATCCACCACAGAACCACATTGTGATGATCCACGAGACGACCTGGAAGAGAAAATGTTAAAAAAACTAGGCCAAAAACTATCAAAATTGAGCGTTTTAGCGTGGTGGCCGAGTTTTGAAAATCAAATTTGAAATTTTGATGCTCTCAGGGTGATAAACTAGGCTAGAAAACCTAAACAAGTAGGAAAAATCAGCCAAAACAGCAGGTTTTAGTCATTTTTTTGATAGTGGCCTAGAAAACCAAAACTCGGCCACCATGCTAGAATGTGGAAAATGACCGATTTTCAGGGTTTTTAAGGTCAAATTTTGCGCTGAATCCATCTAAAATACTCTGAAGCTTCAAAAAATTCAAAAACTAGGCCAAAAATCGTAGAAAATGAGCCAGTTTGAAGGGTTTTTAGAGTGGTGGCCGAGTTTTGGTGGCCTAGAAAACCAAATTTGAAATTTCGACAGTCTCGGGTTACACAATTAGGCCAGGAAGCCTGAAAATCCAAGAAATCATCAAAAAACGTCATTTCTAGCGACTTTTCTGTTGGTGGCCTAGAAAACCAAAACTCGGCCACCAGGAAAAAATTTGAAATTTTAGGCGATTTTTCTAGAATTTTCGAATATGGAAGAGTTTTGATGGCCTAGAAAACCCAAAACTCGGCCAGCAGGTCAGAATTGATAGAAAAAAGACCAGGGAGCTTTAAAATAGAAAAAATCAGACAAAACAGCTGGTTTTAGCCACTTTTCTGATAGTGGCCTAGAAAACCAAAATTCGGCCACCATGCTAAAATTTGAAATTTTGACTGATTTCGACAAATTTTTGGGGTTTTTAGGGTCAAAATTTGCGTTAAAGCTATCTAGAACACTTTAAAACCTCGATTTTCTTATATTATAAGCGATATTTCTGAAAATTTTGACAAACATTTCGAATAAACTTAGCTCACCCCAAATTGTCCATAAAGCGACAGTATGGCAAACGCCAAAACCACAGCCAGCGGTCCCCAGAAATCCGGTGACTCGCGCACAATGTTCAATTTCATTCGGAAGTACGGTAGCGGCAGGAGAACACACCGAATTTTGTAGTAAATGTCCGTTAGGTCGATGTCGAGCTCTTCGCTGAAATTTTAGAGCTGTAATAGTGCCAAATTTGAATTTCCCGCGTTTTTCTAGCCCGAGAACCACTTTTTGTGCATTTTGTCGTCAAATTTGGTGCATAGGTACTAATGCACCGGATTTGACGCCAATTTTTGAATTTTTGGGTTAAAAATGCGGGAAATTTGAATTTTCGGGTTTCAAAGTTTTTTGGGACACCTTTCTAGCCCGGAAATCGCTTTTTGTGCATTTTGTCGTCAAATTTGGTGCAAAGGTACCAATGCACCGGATTTGACGCCAATTTTTGAATTACCGGGTAAAAAAATGCAGGGAATTCGATTTTTTGTGTTTTGGAGTACCTACAGTAGTGGAATTTGGTCTTGCTCGTCCTCATTGACCTCTAGAAGCCATCCAAACCCATTATTCTCCATAAACTTCCCGGCGGCGCCTGCATTCGTCCGACGATAAGCTTGCGCCGAGATTTGGCCGGTTGGGAGTGGAATTTGACCGTCTGAAATGCTAAAATTCAAATTTCCCGCCAAATTTTGCCCCCAGAACCCACTTGGATCATCGTAACCGGTCATTGTAGGTGTTTGAGCTGGAAAATTCTGAAATCCGATGAATAGAAGCCATCCAGGTCGATGGAGACGTCTGGCTGTTTCATTCCCGTGCCCGGATAGTCCATTTTTCTGAAAATCCCGCGAAATTTGGCTGAAAATCGGGGAAATACGAGAAGAGAGCGGAAAAAGGCCAAAAAAGTGGGAAAATCAGAGGGAAGAAGCGAAAAATATGTTTTGAAACCTAAAAAATTGAGTTTTTCACAAAAAATTAGGCTAGAATCGCCATTTTTTATCCTGAAAAAGCTCTGAAAATCTTCTTAAAAAATTAATTTTATAAAAAATTAATAAAAAGATTACTGTAGAAATTTGAAGGCGCAGGTGTCTCTAAAATTCGTCAAATTTTCAAACTTAATTTTCAGCCGTTTTTCTTGTTAGATTTTGAATTTTTTGCTATCAATCAATGCAAAAAAAATTGCTCTATTTTTCTAAAAGCTTTTTAGTTTAATTCAAAACCATTTCTAGCTGAAAATCGGGTTTTTCTGAAAGGTATACTGTAAGAAGTTTGCTGGCGGGTCTCGCCACGAAATTGACTTTTCCGATTTTTCTACGAATTTTTTTCAATTTTTTCGGCGATTCTTTGGCGATTTCCGCTGTTTTTCAGCCGATTTTTCAAGAATTTTCGATGGCTAGAGGTACAAAACGACGTCGGAGTCAAATTGAAAAGTAGTTTTCAGCAAAAACTTCGTTAAAAATCTCAAAAATCCCAATTTTTTAGGCCAGTCGTCAATCGGGACGACACTATCGAGGTAGATGAGGACGCGGCGGTTGGGGATTCGCAAGTGGCGGTTACCAAGGCGTACGCCCGACTCGCCGGCATTCGTCGAGGCATCGCCACGATCGGTTTGGGCGGGAACTTTGAATTTTTGGCCTAAAATTCAAATTTTCAGACCTCGCCGACGACAATTTCGTGTGTGGGCGTGGCTCCGATGAGTCGCCCGTCAACTACAACTTCTCGTCTGCGTCGCACGACGTCGGCCTCTATCGATTCATCTCGAAAATTCAGTTCGCGATCAGTAGGGTACGCGGAAATCAGTAATAACATTTGATTTTCGCACCTGAAAATCGGTTTTAGGGGGTGCAATAGCTGGAAAATAGCTGAAAAATCACATTTTTCAGCAAAAAATACATCAAAATCGTCCAAAAAATGACCGAAATTGGCTAAAAATTGTCAAATTTCAGCCAAAATTGAATTTAGCGCCCGAAAATAGGATTACGGCTGGGAAAACCGGATTTTTGGCTAGAAATGGTCTAAAAATACGTACTTTCAGCCGTCAAAATCGGGAAAATCACAATTTTCAGCTAGAAATCTATAAAAATCGTCCAAAAATCGACCAAACATGAATTTCTAGTCAAAAAATCAATTTTCGGCTCAAAAATCCAAAAAATCATTAAAAATAGCTGTAAAAACGCTATTTGCAGCCAAAAATTCAAAAAAATCGGTGTTTTCAGCTAAAAAATCGGCAAATTTCAACCAAAATTGAATTTAGCGCCGAAAAATAGGATTTTGGCTGGAAAACCTCGATTTTTGCTCAAAATGACCGGAAAATAGCTGAAAAAACGCTATTGACTCAAAAATACGTACTTTCAGCTGGAAAACGCTGAAAAAAATCGTAATTTTCAGCTTAGAATTCATGAAAATTCAAGTTTTCCGTCTCAAATTTACTTCAAAAAATGATTTTTAAGTCAAAAAATCGGGTTTCGACTGAAAATAGCTGGAAAATTTGAGATTTTCAGAGATTTTTTGCCAAAAATCCAAATTTTCAGCCCAAAAAATTCAATTTCCAGGACTCTGAAACGCGTCGAATCCATCTACACGATCATTCTCGAAACGGAACGCTCGTCAATCAGGAAATGATCGGAAAAGGACAGTCGAAGGAGCTCAACAACGGAGATTTGATCTCCATTGGGATTCCGGCGCTAATTAGTCCGTAATTAGACGATAATTAGTGTGAAAAGTTGCTGAAATTAGCTTAAAATAGCCTGAAATCGGAGAGAAAAATGAGCGAAAATCAATTGCATTTCAGTTGAAAATAATAGTGGGCGGAGCCTAAAAGGGGGCGGAGCTTAATTCCTCAAAATGTCAAAAACAGGGCTTAAGATCCTTCATTTTTGCCCAATTTTTCTCGATATTTCTCGTCTAAAAGTGGGCGGAGTCTATAAAAAGAGGCGGAGCCTAATTTTACTGAATCTTCAAAAATCCCGAAAATAGGCTTAAAACCATCCATTTTCAATCGATTTTCTTCCAATTTTCTAGAATCTAAAAGTGGGCGGAGCCTATAGAAGAGGGGCGCAGCTTCCCAAAAAAGTGGGCGGGGTCTAGAAAGGGGCAGAGCTTAATTACTCAAAATGTCAAAAATAGGGCTTAAAATCCTTCATTTTTGCTCGATTTTTCTTGTCTAAAAGTGGGCGGAGCCTATCAAAAAAGGGGCGGAGCTTATTATACAAAGTGGGTGTGACCTAAAAAAGGGGCGGAGCCTAATTTTGCTAAATCTCTGAAATCCCAAAAATAGGCCTAAAATCATCCGTTTCGAATCGATTTTCTTCAAATTTTCTAGAATCTAAAAGTGGGCGGAGTCTATAAAAAGGGGCGGAGCTTCCCAAAAAGTGGGCGGAGCCTAGAAAGGGGCGAAGCTTAATTTCACTAAATCTTCAAAAATCCCAAAAATACACGAAATCATCCATATTCAATCGATTTTCTTCCAATTTTCTAGACTCTAAAAGTGGGCGGAGCCTATAAAAAGAGGCGGAGCTTCCCAAAAAGTGGGCGGAGCCTAGAAAGGGGCGGCGCTTAATTCCTCAAAATGTCATAGATAGGCTTAAGATCCTTCATTTTTTACTCACTTATTTCGTCTAGAAAGTGGGCGGAGCCTATAAAAAGGGGCGGAGCTTACTATATAAAGTGGGCGTGACCTAGAAAGAGGCGGAGCTTAATTTCGCTAAATTTCCAAAAATCCCAAAAATACGCCTGAAATCATCCATATTCAGTCGTTTTTCTTCAAATTTTTAGACACTAAAAGTGGGCGGAGCTTATTATACAAAGTGGGCGTGGCCTAAAAAAGGGGCGGAGCTTAATTGCTAACATTTCCCGAAAATAGGCTTAAAATGTCATCCCCAATTTCTCTCGAATTTTCTTGCCTAAAAAGTGGACGGAGCTTTTCAAAAAAAGGGGCGGAGCTTACTATACAAAGTGGGCGTGGCCTAGAAAGGGGCGGAGCTTAAAATTTCATCCCCAATTTTCCTCGAATTTTTTTCGCTTGAAAAGTAAGCGGAGCCCGCTTGAAAAGGCGGAGCATAGAATGTGGGCGTGGCCTTGCCTGTGGTATGAAAAAGAGCATCAGCGTCTTGCTGAAATGTCCCAAAATCCATTTTCAGCTCTAAATATCCCCTTTTTTGCTGAAAAATAGTCTATTTTCAGCCTAAAACAGCTTATTTTGAGCCTAAAACAGCCTATTTTAAGCCCAAAATTCCGAATTTTGCAGTTTTCGTGTTCGAAACCACCGACGAAGGACAGTATCCGGAGGAATTGACCAAAAAATACCATGTGACGAGTCATTCGCTGGGAAAAGGCGGTTTTGGGAAGGTCCTGCTGGGTTATAAGCGATCCGATCGCTCTGTGGTGAGTATTTTCAGCGTTTTTGACTGAAAATGGCTGAAAATAGCGGAAAAATCAGAAAAATCGACTGGAAATGAGCTAAAATTGGTGAAAATGACCTATAATCGATGAAAAATGGCTCAAAATACTTCTAAAACGGCCTAAAATCGGCCTAAAACAGCCCGAAATAGTCCGAAAAGTGGGCGGAGCTTAAAAAGTAAAAAAAAATCCTGAAATCTTTTATTCTTAATCAAAATTTCTGCACATTTTCTAGGCGCTCTAAAAAGTGGGCGGGGCTTAGAGAAAGGGGCGGAGTTAAGGAATCGATGAGGAAAAGGCTTAAAATCGCTCAAAAATAGTCTGAAAATGATCAAAAAGTGGGCGGGACTTAACGAAAGGGGCGGAGCCAAGGAATCGATGAAAACTGACGTAAAATAGTTCAAAATCGATAGAAAACCGGCCTAAAATATGCCTACAATGGACTGAAAATTGGTCGAAAATTGACCTGAAATAGTCTGAAAATGACCAAAAAGTGGGCGGAGCCTGAAGGGGGGCGGAGCTATAAAATCTTCAGAACCAATTTTTTTTTTGGTGCGAGTTTCCTCTAGAAATTGCCTAAAACCGGCCTAAAATGACCCTGAATTGGCCCGGAACTAGTTGGAAAATGACTTAAAACAACTCAAAACTAACGTAGAACAGCCGAAAATGACCCAATATCATTGAAAAATGACTCAAAACTAGCCTAAATGGCCTAAAATAGCTCAAAATAGGGCCTACAAATGCCTAACATGGCCCAAAACTGACCTAAATCGGCCCAAAAAAGCCCAAAAATCGTCTTTTTCCAGGTGGCTATCAAAATGCTCAACACCCAATTCTCGACACGTTGCAGTCGAGCCATCGCCAAGACTCGGGATATCAAGAATGAGGTGGAGGTGATGAAGAAATTGAGCCATGTAAGTCGAAAAACGGGGCCCAAATCGGCCTAAGATGGCCTGAAAATCGGAAAAATTGAGAAAAATTGGCCTGGAACGGCCTAAAATAGCCTACAATTCGAAAAAAAATCGAGAAAATTGGCCTGAAACGGCAAAAACTGGCCTGAATCCGGTGGCCGAGTTTTGATGGCCTAGTTTTCTCTGACTAGGCCACGAGGGGTTTCATACTGTTTCCGGACATTTTTAGGTCTTTTATGGGCCGTTCTAGACTGTTTCAAGCCGTTTCAAAGCTTTTTCAGGCCGATTTCCAGGCTTTTCAAGCCACCATTTTAAGCCAAATTATTTTCAGCCCAACATTGTGGGCATCTACGATTGGATTAGTGTGGCCAAGTACAGCTACATGGTCATCGAGTACGTTGGAGGAGGCGAATTCTTCACGAAAGTCGTCGATCCGAAATATAATCGAATGGTACGTACGGGAGGTTTTTTGGCTGAAAATTCAATTTTTAAGCCCCAAAAATATATTTTCTGGCTGAAATTTGGCTTAACAAAGCTGAAAAATCGACTTTCCCGCGATTTTCTAGCCCGGAAATTGGTTTTTGTGCATCCTGTCGTCATTTTCAGTGCATTGGTACCAATGCACCAGATTTGACGCCAAAATTTGAACTTTTGGGTAAAATTTGCCTTAAAATGGCCAAAAATCGACTTTCCCGGGATTTTTTAGCCCGGAATTTGGTTTTTGTGCATTTTGTCGTCAAGTTTGGTGCACTGGTACCGATGCACCAGATTATTTGACGCCAAAATTTGAATTTTCAGGCGAAATTTGGCTGAAAATAAGCGAAAAATTGAATTTCTTGCGATTTTTCAGGCCTGGAATTGGTTTTGGAGCATTTTGTCGTCAAATACGGTGCATTAGTACTAATGCACCAGATTTGACGCCAAAATTTGAACTTTTGAGGGGGGAAAAAGCAAATTTCGATGTTCTGGCTGAAACTCGACTGAAAATAAGGGAAAAATTGGTTTTGGTGCATTCTGTCGGCACGTTTGGTGCAAAGGTACCAATGCATCAGATTTGACGCCAAAGTTCGAATTTTTGAGTGAAAAATCGATTTTTAAGCCTAGAAAGTCGGTTTTCAGCTATTTTTACACCGAAAATAAGCTAAAAGGCTAAAATATGGCCAGAATAGTCGATTTTCAGCTATTTTCAGCCAAAAAAAAGCTAAAAATCTCGGATTTGCAGGGTCTCGGCGAATCGCTCGGGAAATATTTTGCGTTTCAACTCATCGACGCCGTCATGTATCTTCATTCGGTGGGAATCTGTCATCGTGACATTAAACCCGAGAACATTCTGTGCTCCGATAAGACGGAGCGGTGCGTTCTGAAGGTAAAATGGGCGAAAATTTGGCCTAAAATGCCCCAGAATTCATGAAAATTGGTCCAAATTGTAACGATAATGACCTCAAATGGCCTATTTTTGGCTTAAAATAGCCTAATTTTGGCTTGTTTTTTTGTTCTAAAAAAGCCGCGAATTTCAGCTTAAGAAAGCTGATTTTCGGTCTAGAAAAGCCTATTTTTTGCCTATTTTCGATCTAAAAAGCCTGAAAATGATCTAGGACGGCCTATTTTTGGGTGTGAAGAAGGCCTAAATTTGGTCTCGAGAGGGGCCTATTCTAAAAGGACTTTTTTGACTTTTTTATTGACATGGAAATGATCTAATTTTGGTCTAAAATGGCCTACTTTCCATCTTAAAAAGGCTAATTTTGGTCTAGAAAAGCCTCCTTTTTCGCCATAAGTGAACTATTTCAGGCCTAAAATGCCTCAAAAAGCAGGATTTAGGTCTGAAAAAGACCTGATTTTAGCCC